TCGTAAATGGAAAAGTTTACTACAATTCAGCGACTTCAGTATTTAAAAAAAAACAAAAACATTTTGAACTTTTTGCGTGTATAAACGTGCCAATTTGTAAATACGGAAGACCATACACGACATTATTAAAAACTATCTAAATTTTAATCTTTTTTTTTTGTAATTTTCTAACATTTCCTCCACAATGCATTCGTAAGTAAGATTATAAAATTCAATAAAAAATATTTCATTACTTAAAATTACTGGGTAGTTAAATATATATATAAAAATGTTCACGTTGTACTCAAGTAATTATTACAGTTAAATGCCCTTTCCTTAAAAGTCTCAAACGTCAGGTTATCAATAAATGTGTCAACATCCCATGAAAACGCCTACTTCCGTGTTAAAAATGATTTTCTTTAATATTTTAAGCAAAACTTAAGAAATATGTGTTTTCATTCAGATTAATTAAACTTTAAATCAGCTAATCGTCTCCTTAAATAAGGTTTCAGAAATGTATTAAAAATATTTCAAAAATAAAATTTATGTTTATGTTTTTTAATAATGACAATTACGTTGTAAATATGGTCGATGTTAGCTATTTTTAACGATTTAAAAAGAACTCATTCCAATCAACTTAAATCCGTTTTGAAATACAGCCACGTATTTTGTCTGTTAGAAATATTAAATGTAATCTATTAGCTTGGAATTAAAATGAAAATAAAAGCTTCAAGAAAGATTTTACATTTTGAAAAATGCATTTTAAACCTTAGGTATCGTCTTTCTTTGGATGTACCTATATAGATATACATCAACGAGTGAACGGATGGGTCAATCTACAAAAATCTGGAGTCGGGATGCTAATGGTAACATCATCAAGTGACAAATCTTATACCTATATCTCTCTCTCTCTCTCTCTCTCTCTATATATATATATATATATATATATATATATATATATATATATATATATATATGTATGTATATAAATAAAAAGAAAGAACAGTAAGATATATAATCCGGTGTTCTTATAGATATTTTTATTTTTACAAAATAGTGTTCAATGTAAATTTACAGAGCATTAATATTATAAATTAATTGATTTAAAATATGTTTTTTTTTCTTCACAGTTCTAACTATGTTTCAAAAATGGAAGCTAAAGCCACGAATTTAATTTTGCAATTAAATTAAAGACATTAGTTCCATTTCATCCTCAAGCGAATTTTGGAGTAACTTTTAAAATTACTGGGTTTTAAAGACACTGCTAAAATCCCGTTTCCATGGTTACAGATAAATCTACTTCAATTGGACAAGGGTTGTCTGCGTTTTCCTTATGTCTGTATCATTGTATCGGTTATTAGCTACATTTTGGTAAGGGGTAGGCATGTATTTTTCAATGAAAACTGACATCCGTTGAATGCATGTCGTCTGGATTTTTTTTAAATTTATTGTTAACGGCAAAAATTCTTACGGCATTTTTTTCTATTTGTAAATTTAAAGATTTTCGGGGGGTGTTCAGATTAGGATACTTTTAATTTAACTACGATTTGAAATATTTTCATTTTTAATTTTTATTATACTATATTTTTTTTTTATGAACAGTTAAATGTATTAGAATCCCTTATATTATATAGGATTATTTTTACAACAAGTATAAGTATGTATATTAGGGTACATTTTTTTAAAGTAAAATTTATGACAATGACGGCAAAAATAGTTACTTAATTTCACTGATTTAGTAAACTTTTATTTTTATATATATATAAACCTAGTAATATATTGTTTCTCATGTAAGTACAAAGGACATGGGTCATTCAAAAGCTTACATCTTCTGGCATTTCATATTAGTTTTATTTTTACTTTTGGTGTTTTATTGGATTCTTTAAATTATTAGTAGTACTAAGTAAAAGAAGTTTAGGTTAGAATTCATTTTATTTAACTACAATTTTAATTACAACTTTAAAATATTTTCATTGTTATTTTTAATAGACTATATTACTTTATAACAGAAGGAAATGTATTTGAAATTACTTATAGTAAGTAAAATTATTTTTCCATATCAAAGTATATGTATATTACGATTTTTAAACTTTTATATTTAAATATTATTTAAGTAATATTTATGGCACTTACTGCAAAAATAGTTAATTCATTTCTCAGATTTAGTAAACTTTATTAATTAATTAATTAATTTATTTATTTATTTTAAATATTTATAATTATAAATTTATTTATTTTAAATATATAAAATTATAAAGTAATAAAGTTTCATATGTATGTACAAAGACATGAGTCGTTCACTGGCCTACATCATCTAGCTTTTCGTTATAATTTCATTTTTCAGTAGGTGTTTTATAACAACAGGAAGTGTCCTTCTAGATACATAGATATATAGTTATATTTTAATATTTCGATGTTTACTTACACAATCTTTAGACATAAATGTTTTCAGAATGGTTCGAATAAACATCGAGATAAATGGCATCATCTTTGTTAGGAAATCCAATACATTTGGACATTTGGACATTCACTTAATAATTATGTGTTATAGCTTTCTAATAATAATCGTTTTAATTCTACGTACATAGATATGTGACACTATGATTCGGATAGTGTCTGTCTTTATCTTAGTTTAAGTGTTTCGTGTTTTATGACCAGCAGTCAAGTCTGTGAAATGGAGTCTTTAAAATTCAGCCACTCACATATTCGTTTTGTTTTACACAATAATGTTCAACCTGTACAAGGCCCGGGAGCCACTCGAGGTACAGTGTTACAGATTAAGAGGCATAGTTTATGCGAATATGTGAAGAAGAGAACGATTAAACTTAGACTTGAACAGGTTAATATTGCAGTGATCGGGGAAGCATCCTTTTGGGAGTCGATTCCACGGACCAGCGCTTCATGGGAAGAAGCTGTTCAAGTTGAAGCTGCATCTCACTAATGGAATACGAAGGGAATGTGGTTCGTTAGAATGTGGATGGTATGTCGGGCCTTAGTGGAAAAGATGAGAACTGACAGAATTAAGGAAACTACTTGACCAAAAGAAAAGAAAATAATCGATAAATAAATGATTTTTTTAGGAACAAATGACACGACACCAGACATAGAAAACTTCCGGTCAGTAACAGTCACAGTTGGGATTGTAGTATTGAAGGGATTGCCTTTACCGGATGCACGCTGTCCACCAGAAGAGATTTAGCAGCCGCGTGTAGTTAGACTTTTCGCTAGTTGAGGGTAAGAGGTGATCAGTTTGACTGACATGGCAGAAGTTGTCCCAAGTGTCACCTCCCAATACACTCGAACCGTACAAGTGAATTACGAAATGTACAACGAAACATATTGGAAAAAGGGTTCAAGTTTTCCTTTTTCACCGCGTTGTTTATTGTCACCTTTCATTTTCTTGTGAGTGTACAGCGGACATTTCCCAGCTTTTGTAACCACCTATGCGAACCAGAATAGAGACGTAACGTTCATTGTCCGGTCTGTGAAAAGCTAGAAGAGAGTTTGGTTGTATGTTTACAGTTAAGCAAACACTACACTCATAAAAACTGATTCTAAAGTCATCCAGTATAGATTAGAGGAAGACTAATTCTGTCGAGTGACATTTTACTGTTTTATTTGTCCAGTTGACGATGCAGCTGAAATAATACACGTAGAAGAAAAGCAAAACTATTTCTTGCGAGAACAGAAAAAAGTCGGGGAAAAAAGCGACAAAAATGAGATGAAAGCAAAAACATGCAAGAAAGTGTTGCAGATTTATTATTTTCTTAGTTGCTATTAAAATGATTATTCATTAAACAAAATTCTTCGACTGGTCAGTAGTTGACTTTTTTTTAGTTATGTGCCATGCATGATAAACACTTAGGCGATCATGTATCTTTCGATACATGAGTGACGAGGTAGATTTTTTCCCGCAATACGTTGCCATTTATTTCTGTGGTAGAACAGTTGTCATCCAAGGCTATAGAACTCAGTCTAACCTTATTATTATTATTATTATTATTCCAGTTTTCTTAACGTTTTGGTTAATAAAATTCTTTCTTGATTCATTTATCTGAGACGTAAGAGCCTATTAGAATGAGAGAGTTTTTACTTCCCATCTATTCCCGTTCATGAACAGAGATGCACTGGACATCAGCCCCTAGGGGACAGGCCAAAATGGTTAAGATCAAGTAAGTTCTATGGTACTGAACGGGGTATTTATGGTCAGTCAGTTACATGACTGAAACATGACTGACGATACATGGTACATGACTGACGAGGCAGATTTTTTCCCGCAGTAGGTTGCCATCCATAGAACCTACTATTTACCCATAGCTGGGAGGTGAAGAAGACTATTCATACCTTTCCCAAGGGTATTAGTACGTCAGTGAATGTAATGGATTCGACTGTAATTTGAACCCGGCTCTCCATTACTCCACCGTGCCTCTCTCCCAACTGCGACTAAATAGAGAAATCAACAAAAAGTAGATGTACATCCCTTTACTACCGTAGTCGTTGACCTGAAATAAAAGAACAAAAGCAATAGGTGATAAAGTTTCTTTTGTCATCCTAATAGACGCGTGTACTGAAATAGACATAAAGAACCTTTTCTTTTCCTTGCAGCTTACTTAACCTTTATTACTTTGTACATGACTTCATTTGCTATAGAAAATGGTTATTCTGCCACTGAAAGTGATCATAGTTGTGTTGTCATACCCTGCTATGGCAACAGAAAACAACTCGTGAAATTAACAATATGGATACTGCAATTGCCTTGAACAATAATATAGTGAAAAGGGAAGTGATATTAATAATGCAGAGTGCTAAAGATTAAAGCTATAAATCTTTTTAGATTATAAGAATGGGGTGGGGGTTATAATGACTTACTGATACAAGTCCTGCTAATTAACCATGGGAGGAGAAGAAGTGGATTCATAATTTTACCAAGAGTATTGGCACGTAAGTTTATATAACGAACACGACTGGAATTAGAACTCGACTCTGAGCCGTTATTCATTACACACAACCACATGTCCAAGCTTACAGCTTCTAGTATTCCCAAGGGGTCACCCATCTTAGTATCGACCAGACTCGACGTTGCTTAGCCTCGGTGATCGTTCGGAAACCGGTTTTTCAGCGTGATATAGTTGTAAGCCTCAAGAAGAACAAGATTGAATTCGTTGACATCAGTAAAGGGAAAGATGCGTTTGATGAACAGTAAAATTGATATTTGCTTAGAAATTGGTGAAGCATAGTCGTAAGTTGCCATACCCTTTTGAACCGCAGGCATTTATAGAGCCCCAAGGTATTTATTGATACTGACTGACCCCTAGGATTCGATGTGAACCAATTCGGGGACACTGATGTATATGAAGATTTACTAACCGTAACTTAGTTTGGTACAAGGCTACATTAGTGGAGCATGAAGTGACAACTGACGCCATTACATTATCAATCTGTACTTTTGCGCTAGAATAAACGCCAATAATACGGACATTACTTAGTCAGGTACAAGGCTATCTTTGAGCATCTAGTGAGGATTGAACTCTCGACAATAACGACTTGGAGTGTTGGTCTCGCTTTCTGACGACCGTGCTACTTACAGCGGCCATGAGATTGCGCAGATGTATTCGTTAGTGAATTCAGACATCTGTGTGCATCCACATGTGTGTGTGTGTGTGTGTGCGCGCGCGTGTGTGTGTATTTGTGCGTGTGTGTCTACGCCTATGATCATGTGTTGAACTTAGTATTTGTGCATGGCAATTACATAAATGTATCTTTCGTTTCTCTACTGATGGGTGCGGGGTGTCGTCAGTGCACGCTTGGCGTATGTGCAGGCGTCCGGAAAAAGGCGATAGGTAGTAGGGTAGATAAAAGGGTGGGTAATGGAGGGTATGTAAAGCCCGCAACACAAACCTAACTAACCCCGATTCTTTTGCAATTAAGACTTGCATTCTTTGTTGGCAACAGCGGAGTCGTCTATTGTAATGGTGGTCGGTCAAGATGGAATCTTTTCTGGAGTCTGCCAGCAAGAGAGTGAAAGAAAGAGAACGATAGATGAGGCAACAGAGAGAGAGAGAGAGAGAGAGAGAGAAGGAAAAAGGATAAGCGAGAGTGTGAAGAAAAATAGTGCGCAGGAAAAAGAGAACGAAAGAGAAAAAATGAATGTAAAAAAGAGAAAGACAGACTCTTAAAACAATAAGAGAGGAGAAAATAAGATTTGTTTAGAGGGGAGTTGAAGCACGACAAAGAGGGGGAAACAGAGAGAGATAGGAATAAAAAAAAGAAAAGTGAGATGGAATTGCAAAAGCAAATAACTGAAAAAAAAACAAAGTGGGAAATAGTAAGGGAGGGAGGGGTTTCAGAGAGAGAAAATGATAGGCTGTAGTAGAGAGGAGTCAAAAATTGTAAGATAGAGAGATAGGGAGAGTGGAAAAAGAGAGAGAGAAAGAAAAAAAAGAAAGGAAGGAAGGAAGGAAGGAAGGAAGGAAGGAAGGAAGGAAGGAAGAGACTCCTGTAACAATGTGAAAGAGAAAATTAGAGAAAGAGAAAATAAGAGAGAGTGTGAAGAAAGGGTAAAGATGAAAGTAGCTGAAACGGAAAAAAATAAAGGAGAGAAGGAATGAAAATAAAGAGAGACTAGATAGGATGAAGGAAAAAGAGAAAGAGAAAAGAAAAGAAGAAAAGTGAGAAAGGGTTAAAAAAATAGATTGAAAGAAGCACGTAGTAATAGGGAGAGAAAAAGAATGGATGACGAAACGAAAAGGAAAAACTAAATAACATTGATAGAGAAAAAGAGAGGAAAGTAGAGGAATAAAACATTAGAGAGGGGTTGGATTTGGACAAGTAAAAAATTGCAAAGAAAAACAAAGAGAAACACTAGAAGAAAGACTGAATGCATAGAGAGAGGGGAAGAGAGAGAGGGGAAGAGAGAGAGGGGAAGAGAAGTCACAGATCTTTTGTTTAAAAGTAAGAAAGAAAGGTTATGAAATAGTATCGCATATAAAAAGAAGGATGGAAAAAAGAATTATTGGAGAGAGTAAAGAAAAACGAAGCATCAGGAGAGAGAATTGCAATAAGAAATAAAAACATATTGAAGAATCTCTGAATGGAAACGAGCAACAAAAAACCTAAATGATGGTAAATGAATAGAATATATATCTATCTATTTCTCTCTTTATATATATATATATATATATATATGTGTGTGTGTGTGTGTGTGTGTGTGTGTGTGTATGTATATATGGAATTCGGTATGTGTGTCGACAGCTTAATTATATATATATAAAAAATTATTTCAGATAAAAATACTTATTTTTAATACAAAAAAATATTGCCAATGCCTTTAATTGATTTCCGTATATACTTGCGTATAGTGCGCGTTTTTCATGATTATTTTTTTATGCCAAAAAATGGATGGCTGCGCTCTATACAGAGGTCATTTGGGGGAAGAGGTTAAATACCAAAAAAAAAAAAAAATTCGGTGATTGTTTGCACTATACGCAGGTTAATTTTTTTCCGTAGGGGATTAAAATTCATGTAAAAACAAAAAAAAAACAAAAAAAAAACAGAGATCACGTTCTACATGAAATAGGCTTCTATACGCGCATAAACCATATCACAAAGATCGAACATTACGCTATGAAAATTTATGACGTTAGGCAGTGCACACACACACAGAGTGGCACACATACACTCACACACACAAGTGCGTGCTGCAAAAAATTCTAAAAATTCAGTCCGACTAAAAAATGACTAAAACATTCTGATGTTTCGTCAGATTTTGAGAAAGTGGATTGGATAGTTATTTATTTGTACTAATGTTTAAAATGTGGCACAAGGCCCAAAAAATGGGGTTGGGGAAGGACGGTCTTCTTCTGTCTTAATTCTAAACTTAGCTAGTCACAGACACGGACCCAAACATACCAACAATAGTCCTATCACCAAAACAGCACATTCTCTCCTACCTTTCTTACTGCGTCCATCATAATACCTCAAATTCTCTATGAAAACTAGTCCCCATATGTACTGTTCAAAGTCTGTGTGTGTGGCGGGGAACAACAATTTAAAAAGACCCCAATGATTATTTACAATATGAATTGATACTATTTGCATAAATCAAAACAAAATAGGGTTAGTAATAAAAAAAACACACAATCCCTAAATGTGGCAGAAATATCAGTTAACTGGACGAAATAATTGCGGGATTATAACATTATAAAAAACAAAGCACGCCCACAAACACGAACTCATTTAGACACAATAACAAATACGAAAACACACACGCAGGAAGCGAAAGTCATCCCGCAACAACCAGAGAACTGACATCACTGACCACCTAACGAGGGAGGGGATGGGGAATTAAACAAAAGAAAAATAGGGACAGAAATAAAAAGGGGCCAATGAGCATGCATACCCTAGCTAAGTTAACCAGAAACGGTAAACTAAAGATTCAAACTAAAAAAAAAACTAAACTAGCCTAATATCGGGGCGGGTTGCCTCTGTTCAACCCTGGTAGGACAAAATCCTGTACCTAACCGACATCCAAGTGTCACTCCAGGTCATCCCCTTTCGCTCTACGCAGTCGCGCAAGATTTACCCACCTTTTGCCGAATTCTGATGAAGAGAGTCGCTGCCTTTCCGTCCTAATCTTGACTTTAAGCAGTACAATATCAGTTGGGAAGAGATGAACTTCTCACCTCCATAGAATCCCCTTCTGACGTGTCGACCAAATCACGACTCTCATAACTCCTAGCAAGCAGTGGAACATAAAGTTCAGCCTTCGTCAACGGCGGTGTCACATTGCTACAAACAGAAGAGACCTCAAGTACAAAGAACTTTCCCTGCAACATGGGAACCATGAGGCCTTCAACAAACTTACACAATGGAGCTACCAACTTGCACTGAAAGAAGACGTGACCTAGGGTCTCGACTTCCCCACTACAACGTCGGCAGTTTGGAGATTTCTCCAAGCCTGCTGCGCAAAGCTTTTTGGCGATTCAGAAGGCCCCACGAATCAGCAGCCAGGTGAGGGATGCCTCATCGTTATTGAGACATTTCAACCCGGGAGCACAAGGCCAGATCGAGTGAGCCTCCTGCTTTGTAAGACCGAGCTCGTCAATCAGATCATCATGAACGGACCCCCTAACTAACACTTGATATAATGCCCTACGAGACAACGTCTGGACGTTGGAGAGGCCATCCGACGCCCGTAAGAGGCGTTTCAGAGCAAGACGACATTCACAGTAGAAGGAGCACTCGGCTCGGGGTAAACGGCGGGCCTCCTCCTCGCACGAGTGCACACTTCTCAAGGATGGGAAATTTCTACGGGCGTATTCCTTCCAGAAGGCGCCCTTCTCATCCGATTCGCGACAAAAACGATCTAGGAACCCGATGTGAAGCATATAGAGACGGATCTCAATGCTAGGCATACCTAGACCGCCTTCAGATGGATGAAGGCAACAGATCTCCCGAGAGACTCTGGCAGCCTTGCCTCCCCACAAGAAGGAGAACAAGAGCTTCACTAACGCCAGCAAAGTGTCAAACGGAAGTGGAAGCACAGAGAGTCGGTAAAGGAGAATCGGGTAAATGTGTGAAACACATACTTCCGCCCTCCTCTTTAAGGAAAGATTCCTCCGAGACCACAAATTAATTGCGATTTCGGCCTTCCCTTGCACCTCCGACCAATTCATATCCAACTGGATATCAGGACCGAACCAGACGCCGAGAATCTTGACCGGTCTATCCGTCCAGTGGAAAGGTCCAGGAAGAGAAACTCCCTTCCACGTACCCAACCGCAAGCCAACAGACATCGCGGTTGATCTTGGCCCCTGTCATCATCTCATAACCACTGATTTCTTTGCTGACTTCGTTAATCTCGGCTCTGCTCGACACAAGAACCGAAACGTCGTCAGCATAGGCAGAATACCTGGCCGAGGTGGTAGAACTATGTAGGGAAATTCCGCGCAGGACCGGATTCGCCTTTAACTTGCGAAGGAAAGGTTCCAACGCAAGAACGTAAAACATAGGCGAAAGCTGACAACCCTGACGAATAGAACAAGACAATACGAAAGGTTCCGATCTTACCCCGTTCACTTCCACCAGCCCACCGGGAGTCGCACACAGAAGACGGATCCAGGAGCGAAAGTCCGACCCGAAACCGGCAGCTGAAAACACTGCCTCCAGGAATTGATGGTCAACCCTATGAAAGGCATTGGACTGATCCAAATTGATCAGCGCGGCTTCACTGTCGACTTTTTCTATGATCAAGCGGACCATATGAAGGTTGTCCTGAATAGTCCTTCCCTTCACAATACAAGTCTATTCAGAGCCAATCAGACTAGACAGGACAAGCTGCAAACGGTTAGCTAAGATCTTTGCCAAAATCTTTAACTCTGTATTTAACATAGTTAAAGGGCGAAAATTACCTATCCCATCCCCACCGTTTTTGTCCTTACGCAGCAACTTGATCACACCCCTGATGAAGCGTTGAGGTATAGACACCTGCTTCATCCAGTTGTTGAAAATCAGTTCCAGCAAAGTAGTGAAGACCATCTAATCCTGGAGATTTATCCAGGCCAACCTGTTTCAACGCTTCCCAGATTTCCGACTCTGTGATGGGACCCTCACACCTAGCCACTTCAGCTGCCTCGAGGCAGGGAAAATCGGCTAAATAGGGGCCGAACTGAGCAGGGCCCAGACCGGGCTCCCTGGAAAAAAGATCCCGAAAATAATCCCGAAAAGCCTCACATATGCCCGAGTTTGTAGTCACGGTCTGCTTATCCGGCAATGTGACGCTCGCGATATGCCGCCGTGATGCATTCCTACTCTCCTCTGCACGCAATTCTGCGGCCATTTTCGTCGCCTCAGAGGACATTCTTTTTAACCTAGCCCTAACTATCAGAGCTTGATCCTTCTTGATAAGGAAGGAGGCCAACCCTGCCTTAGCTAAGCCTACTTCCCCACTATCACGGGATTTAACAGCCCGAACCACTCTTTGCTCTAAAGCCGTTTGAGCCGCTAATCTATCTAGATTGAGTCGACGGCTAAAATCGGCAGCAAACGTTCGAATTTTAGATTTTAATTTGTCCCACCAGGCATTTCCCACCACAGCCTCTATCAGTTCCCTTTGTAACATTAGTAACAGTTGGTCCCGGAATTCCTGCTCGCCAAATAAGGAGCAGTTGAATTTCCAGTAACCAGCCATGCTAACCTTAGGCTTATCTAAGTTTACACGGACCCGGACAAGCCTATGATCCGAATAAACTATATTATGGAAGCTTGGACACACTAAGAGCCCTAGAAAATGGATTGGATAGCAAAGGTTTTCAGCACCCACTCATATATATATAAATATTTTTAAGACGTGGTTTTACCGATTCAGCCACAAAGGAGCGTTTCGGTTAGCAAGGTCGGTTTTACTGTTTTTTAATCATGGAGAATTGTAGTTTAAAAACAGGCTATTTGAGGGTTCCGTAAAAGGATACAGGTTCGAATCCTGTCGGAAGACGAATATTTTCTATGAAAATTTCTCGGACATTCAGGCCGGTAAATGTCGTTAATACTGTTTATTATAAACAGAGCATTTACTTAAATATTTGTATCTATAAAAAACGTATAAACATAAAAATTTCAATAAAAATAATTGTCGGACTTTGTCCATTTCATAATTTATATTTATACTTATAATGGAACTTCACTTTAACGGACTAATAGTGGGGAGGGTCGTCCGTTAGAGCCGTCGGTCTGTTAACTTGAATCACTTTTTTACGTGGGCTAAAAACGATCAGTGCAGTACAAAATTGTTGTAAACACAGTATATA